CAATGTTTAGGCCTTGTGAGCCAAAATGTACTAATCCCTTTCTCCTTGTGGACTAATATGAGGGTTAATGAGGAGGGACTCGTTTCCCAGGTTTACAGGTAAATGGGGAACGCAAACCACAACACACAGTGTTTTTAGTTTTGGTCCCCAGTTTAGGCATTGCATGCCATTCTTCACTCACTCCTCACGTGCTGTCTATATTAAAAGATATTTTAAACAAACTTTCTTTCATAATTAAAAGATTTTTATACCATTTGAAGTCATTGGTATGGGAGGTGTCAGAAAAGTGGCAGAGGATTTGTGTCACCATCATTTCAGTCTGAACTCCTATTTAAGAAATTTAATTCTCCCTTCTTCCCCGCATAAAAGTTGTCCCCATGATATTTTCCTTCTGGGAATTTCACCTATACAAATCAAGAAACCCAAAGTGGCAAGCTCAGAGCCCAAATATACTGCTCAGTAAGAAATAATCTTGGGTTGGGTGTAAAAAATCTGGTCAGAATTGCATCGCCCGTAGACTGTGCGCGGAGCTGCCTAAGAAAGCCTTCGCTACCCACGAGGTTTGTGCTTTCCCCAGCGGGTCTCTGAGGTGCAGAGGTGGACGCCAGAGGCGGGTGAAGGGTCGCCCAGCACTTCGTGGCAGCAAAGGGAGGACCCACACACCGACTTGTTATTCCTGGGCTTCTGAAGCGCGGGAGCCCAGGGTGGGGAGGGACCTTTGGAGGTACAAACCACAACACATTTTACCTTCCTCCCCATTACAGTCCAAACTCTGCATCTGCGTTTCCCCATTCCCTGAACTCCCCATTTGCCGCGGTCATTTCTTTGGGTGGGAACAGGTTACAATGACTTTCCTTTGCTTACCGGTTTCTGTTGTGCCACCGCGCCGGGCGGGAGTTTACATAGAATATCTTCATAACCATCGCCACTGCCAGGGAATGCAGCCCTGCGTACCCAAAGGGCGTCTAATTTAGTACCATCGGATCAGTGCGCGAAAAAAGGCCCTTGGCGGTCATCCCCAGAGCGAACAACAATCCTTACTGGCCCAGGACAAACTCGGACCTTATCTCCCCTCTTGCTTCCTTTCACACAAGGTCACTTACCAAAGGGGTGACCTCCGGGGAAGACCGTTTTAACCTGACAGGCGAGTGCCTTGAGTAGGTTCACCAGGCCTCAACCTTGACTCCTCGGAGCCAGGCGCCTCCAGCCCAGCGCCGGTGTAGGGGCGCGCACAGCAGAGCCGAACCAAGGTTCCTTGTCCCCGCTCGAGCAGACCCTTGGGCATCTCACTCTACTCCTTTGCCGAACACCCTGTCCCTGTGGTCCGAGCTCCGGCCTGTGCCCTGGCTAGCGCTTGCCTCCCGCAAACACATTCTCTCCCGCTGGCTTGAACTCATCACTTTTTATCCGTTACTTAAATGTCAGTGAAGAGTCACTTCCTCCGTGTTCACCCTGTTTCCCTATTGGGGTTTGGAAATGGGTAGAGAGGTGATGTCAGAATTACAATCTCGGAGTTGTATTTTCAGCAAACAAACCATAAACTGGCAGATTAAGTCAGACGAGCACTTGATCTAGAGAACTCCGAGGAAGAACGTGCCCTGGGGCAGCCGCGGTTTCTGCGCGGACTTTTCCTGTCTCATTTCACTGGAAGTAGAGCTGCCGGGTGCGTGCGAGAATGCGAGAGCCTGCCACGTGTGCACGTGTACGCGGGGTGTGGATCTGCCCGCGTGCCCTTGGATGTGCCTGTCCAGGTGCCCACCCGCGCGCGCCACCGCCTTCCCAGGCCTCTGGAGCGCAGCTGCTGCGAGGCCCGGCCTGAAGTCTCAGGAGGAGGAAATCCCTCCACAGAAGGTTTGAATTATTTCGCTCCGCGGGAGACCCGACTTCGCCGCACTCAGCAGAAGATTTTGGCGGGAAAGGCCCCAGCCCTAGCTGAGGACTCCGGGAGAAGCCGGGGTGAGGGCCGAGCGCAAATGGCGCCGCCGAGCGCCTGAAATCTGCTTGCAAGGCCGCAGCCGGAGCAGCTGTTCCAGCCGTTCCCGGCTCAAAAATTTCCTCTGCTGCTCTCGGAAAGGGCGGGGGCGAGCAGGCTCCTCCGAGGCCGGTCTAGCGGCTTCTCCAGAAGACCCTTCTCCAAAGTCTGGTGGCCTTGGGGGTTTTCAGGGCCACCAGGCTCGGTGGAATTTTTGAAGCTCTTGAAATACATACTGCGTCCTCGGTGGAGTGAGTGGCTACAGCGCACAGGCCGGACTGATCCCCGGCTGCTGCAGGTTGGTGCCCCAGGCTGCGGGTGCTCGGGCGCCAACCAAAGCCAGCTCTGTCCAGAGGCGGAAAGAAAAACGGGCTGTGAAAAAGCAAAAGGCCGCGTTTTTGAATGGAAGGCAAACATTAAAATCGGACCCCAGGGTTGTCTAAAGATCGCGGAGTTCTGAGGCTCGGGTAGAGCAGACTAAAACACAGTGTTAGGAGAGATGGTGAGAGCACTCCAGGCAGGAGCCCGTGCCTGCGCGTGTGTGTTTCACACTTCCCCCTAAACAGTGTTGTGTTGTTTTCCTGTTCCCGGGCTGCTGTCGGCGTGGGGGCGGTGGGAGAGCCACGCAGCGGCTTCTGGGCCCTAAGAAGAGAGCTGAAACAATAATGAGGCTCACCCGGAAGAGACGCTGCCCTGAGCACAAGAGGGTCGCCTGCACTGCTCCTCCATACACGCATCTTTAAATGTGTCCCTGTGTGTGTTCGTAGGGTGCCGCATTACAGAAAAGAAAGGCCTAAAAACAGCCCCAAGCCCTGGTCGCGCCTGTCGCTACTGCCTGTGTCCGCTGCCCGCAGCTCCACCTCTTCTGCTCCCGGGTCCGCAGCGTCTCCAGCCACGGCGCCCTCTGTTTTCTAAAAGATCTTTTCTCATCCTACGACCAAATCCTTAAGAAAGGCTTAGCCATTGCAGGGGCTCCAACTAGGGGATTTCCCCGGCCCACTAAAAGGCCGGGTCCCGCCTGTAGACCAGCTCTGCAGAAAGCCAGACAGTGCTGGGCTTTCAGCTTCTTCCTCCTAGACCCTTGCCCTACAAATACATTTCGTTTTCTCTAATATAAATACCAATCTTGATCTTTTTGTAAAAAAAAAAAAAAAAAAACGATAACGTAATGAGAAATGACCAACCGAACTCTGTTACATAAAGTTACTTCTATGTTAGATCGTCCACCCCACCCCCATCCCGCCGGAGCAAGTAAACAGAATTCAAGAGCTTAGTTCCCCACGTTCACGCCCCGGGATGGTCTCTTTTTGCCTCATTCCCTAACTTTTCTCTCTTCCACCTCCGGAATGGAACTCAGGCTGAGGAGAATGACAGAAAGAGCAAACTCTGATCTGAGTCTGTAATTATGACCCCTGCGTATTGCCCCTTTTGAACATAGGGCCCCAGACCGGCTCCGTGCGAAATGGGGCCTCCCAAGAGAAAGCTTCCCCGGGACACGACGTTTGCCACGCGCAGCTAAACAACTTCGGGTTTTTTTCCACGGTGGGGAAGACAAAATAAAAGAACCTTCCAAGTTTTAAGGTGTCATAACCCCTGTACGAATTTCTAACTGTATGAAGGCCCACGCGAGATCTTGACAATAGATAAATGAGGTTAGGAAATAGGGTCTGGCCAGGGAAGGAAAACATACATTAGCCCAGCGTCCCTTTCTGGAATGCCCACGCAGGGGTCCGCGTGGACCTGCACTTGCATTCAAATACAGGAAAAGGCTTGGATGAACGAAATAAATCTCCTTTTAATTTTCTTTTCATCGACTAATAAAAATAATTCCCCAGCACTAAACTCAAATACCGTAACGGGCCGCAAAAACACGGAGAATTCATAAAACCCTGTCTCTGCAGGTCACCCGCTAATCGCATTATTATTAGCCTCGGGAGCATGGAAATTGAACTGTCACTGCCTAAAGAGAAAATGTAAGCGACAGCTGTCCCTCCTTTGAGTTGGCCGGGATTCCCCAAGCTGCTGAGCCCTAGGCCATCTCTACCCCAGTGCAGGCCGCTGCCCCCTCCCCGGGCTTGCCAGGGTGCAGAACGGGGTCCACTCCCCAGTTCTGGCTGTTCATCAGGAGCGTGGTTTTAGAAGTCCGGGCTGGAAAGCTTCTGAAACCGCTAAACCAAGTCTCGAGCTTTGTGTGTGTGTGTGTGTGCGCGCGCACAGTCAAGATTCTTCTGACAACAGCTGTTCCCCCGGGCTGTTTTTGCACAGTTGAAACTTGGCACTTAATACAAAACGTAAAAGTCGGCTTCTCCCCTCCTAGGGTTCTGTTAAAATACACACATGACATCCGCCCTACTTTTTACATGTTTTGTGCACATAATATACATGTGTTACGTGTAGATCTGAGGCACAAATCAATCGTACCCACACCCTAAATACACAGAGGTATGGGCCCTGAAGAGTGACCCAGCGAGTAGAGTATCTTGTTTCCATTCTTGTTTCCGTAAACGCCAAAGGAGTAGAAATACAATTATGTTCCACCATGGAAAAGTTGGTGAGAGAAGGGCGAGAACGAGGTTGAAGGCTAAATGAAACAAACTGGTCATTCACTGGGACTGAGGTAGCGGATTGGAGAACGCCGCGCCAGTCCTCCCGAGTTCTCAGATGCGAGTCCCAGATCTCCGCTCCCGCAGTGGCCTTCGACCTGCGCCCCTCCCAACCCCAGTGACCCGCAGCCCTTCACCCACAGACACCCTGAAAGCTGCGCCCTGCTTGCAAAAGAAAAGATAATGCGAGCCAACAGGTCTCCTTGCTTAAGGTTGGCGACGAAAACTCCAAGGCTCAGTTCAGCCCCAAAAATTGGTTCCAGCGAATTTAGGATGGCTCAGTGCATTTGCGCGAAGAAAAAGAAACCCATGTTGGGGCAAGGCAGGGCGTCAACCGCAGGGCCTTGCTCCTCACGGTGACTGGCGACTGGCCCTTCGGCGTCCCCTCTCCGCCCTCCTCCCGCGGTCTCAACCGACGCACTCACCCGGGTGGGGCTCCAGGCCGTGTGCCGCCGCGTCCTCCGTGTCTCCGAGTGGGCCCGCGGGGCTCAGCGCCTCCATGGACAGGTCCAGCCCCTTCTCCTCCCAGTCTCGCAGTTTCCGCTTTTTATTTGAGCCGATCAGGGCTTCAACGGAGAAAGCATGTGCTCGCGAGCTCAGGGCGACTGCAGATCTTCTCCTTTCACTCATTTTAGCCGCCCACACCCCGGCCTCCGCTCGCCCCCGCTACCGAGGGAGCAGCGCGCGCCCTCAAGCTCGGAGCGCCCACCGGGCCGGGCCCGGGAGACGCGGCGGCGCGGCGGCCGAAGCTGAGGAGGAGGCGGCGGCTTGCTGGTCCTCTGCACACTCCCCCTGCGTCCTCCTCCGCCCTCCGCTGCCGGATCGGACCTGCGCCCCTACGCTGGCCCAGCTGCTAGGAACTAGCGCCCCGAGAGCCGCCGGCTTGCTGCATGAGCGCCTGAGTCCTGCTTCCCACCCACCGGGGCAGGCGCTCACAGGCTGTGCCCACTGAACTTCATCTTGCTTTTTGTTATTATTATTATTCTCTCCCTCTCTCTCTCTCTCCCCCCTCCCTCTCCCTTTCTCTCCTCCCTCTTTCTCTTCCTCTCTGCCTTCCCGACCTCCCTCTGATCCAAACTTCTGGGAAACTTTTTTTTCCGCTAAATTCCTCCCTTCCCGAGGAACAGGGGGCAGGCGGTGCGCTCCCGTCCGAGGGGTGAGGGAGAGGGAGGGGGGGAGGAAGAAAAAGACTGAGGGGGGAAAAAGCCAGCCCCCAACCAATGGCAAGGAGGGAACAGGAGAAACTCTGAGTACGCGAACCAATGAGAGGAAGGGAGAGACTGAGGCCCGAGCCAAGGCTGCGCGATTGTCGTCCGCTGGACGCTCCTGGGCCTTCTTTAACCCCTGGCTTCCCGGTCCCCCCCAAGAGTTCCTCCAAGAGGAAGGTAGGGCAGTTGAAAGTCGCAGTCTAATCTGAGCCTTTACAAACCCCTGCAAATCCCAAATCCATACGTTTTTCTTCCAGATCTGCTGGGTCTCATAGACGCTGCAAGCTCAGAGGCATTTTAGATGTAGATCCGGAATTTGGGGGTCTGACAAAATGTTAAACTGTCCAAAACGCCAGAAAAACGATTCTGATAATCTCGCATCGGCCCCAGGTGCGTTTGAATCTGCTGATTCCTCCTGTATTTCGCCGCACAGGTTTTTAATGTCCCTATTGAACGTTTTCTAAGCAAATATGGTTAAGGCAAAAGAAAACAAACAAACAAACAAAAAAGCCCAGTTACTAACCGGGGTCTTGTAACTGAAAATTCCAAGATTGCTTCCTCCTTCCAGCTCTACCTGGTGGAGAAGGAGACACAGGCGCCTTGAGAGCAAGAGGCCGACCGAGGAGCGCAGGGTTTGGGGAGAGCCCCTCAGGCATATTCCAGCTGGGCCCCCAGCACACTGCAAATAAATACTCACTTTCCCTGCGACCCGAAGGCTGGGCTGCGCTTCGTCTATTCCGGGCTCTTGGTCCGGAGAACCTATGGAGAAGTGCCAGGCCAGGGCAGCTAGAAACCTTAACGGAAGAGACGGAGCTTTTTCAGCATTCTCTGTAAATCCCGTTACCTCGAGAGCCTGGCTCTCCCAGCCAGGTGATCTCCCCCTGGCCGTCCTCCGCCTTTTTCAATCTCTAAGGACTGTATTCAACATGGATTTCTAAGGAATTTAAAATCCAACACTCCTAGCCATTCTTAATTCCCACATCCCTTCCCAAGTTACGCTACTGGTGGAGAACGGCAGGAGACCCCCGAGCTCAGAGAAAGCTCAAACCGGCTATGAAGTCGGTCCTAGCCAAGCTGAAAAAACGTCTCTGATTTCGCGGACAGCGGCCTAGACACAGCGCTATCTTCCAGTCTGAGCGCCCTGGTTGAGACGGGTCCATCCTTTTGCGAAGAAGCCGGAAAGAGTCGGGTCCCGGGGGCGGGCGAAAGGCTGAGAGGCCAAGCAGGCTTGTCATGCGGACAGCCAGGCCCTCAGCAGGGTCCAAACCTGAAAGTTTAGATTAGGGGGCCCGCAGCGTGTTAGATTTTTTTTTTTTTTTTTTCTTTTTTTCGTAAGGCCCGGGAGGATCAGCTCTCATCGATCCTCCCTCCTTGCGGCGAGAAGACATGGCTTGTCAGGCCTCTGAAACGCCGAATTCTCTGCGGGACTGCGGAGGGGCCCAGGGAAATCTAGTTCTTATGATTACAGTTGGAAGTGCTCTGCTGCTGAAGGCAACCGCAGGGTTGTGAATGCACCTCGGGCCTCTTTAGACAAGAGGCTACTTTTGCTCCCCACCTTCACCCCCGCCCCAAATTACCATCCAACCTGAACGACAGGAAGCTAGCAACCCAGCGAATGAAGAAAGATAACGGAAAAGCCACCGGATGAGCTGATTCAGCCAAGCCTGACCTCCCCAGAGCCTGTGTGTCAGGCTCGGAGGTCCCCGGGAAGCCGGAACAAGAAGACTGGGGAGCTGGAAGCAGGGCCGTGGTCCCCGTCTCCTGCCGCTCTGCCAGAGGACTTCGGGAGCCGGGATGGAGAGGCTCAGGATCTCCCACTTCAGGCACCATTTGGCGTTCCTTCCAGGAATCGTCGCTGAAAGTGAACACGCATTCACTGCTACCAGGCTTCAGCAGAGAAGCTGGAGACGAGGCAGCCAGGAACGCGCAGTCTCCTTTCCCAGCGGCTCTGGCCTCTCTGGGCTCCCCACTCTGGTGTTGCCCGGCGTTTTCCGCCCTGGCGGGAGCCTGCCCCTACCCAGCTTGATGGGATAGCCATGGGGCCGGGCTTCAGTCTTTCCCAGCTCTTTTCTCCTCCCCATCGCCTGTATCTCCATCTCTTTCTGGGAGCCTTTTGCCTTTCACAGCAGTTCACAAGCCTGGTTTGGACTAAGAAGAGGATATACCATAGTCCTCACCCTTCCTGAGACCATGAAATGTTTCTCAAAAAGGAGGACTTAGCCTGGGCAACATGGCGAAACCCCCTCTCTACAAAAAATACAAAAATTAGCCAGGTGTGGTGGTGCGGGCCTGTAGTCCCAGCTACTCAGGAAGCTGACACGGGAGGATCACCTGAACCCGGGAGGTCCAGGCTGCAATGAGCAGAGATCGCGCCACTACACTCCAGCCTAGGTGACACAGTGACACCCTGTCTCAAAAAAAAAAAAAAAAAAAAAAAAGGGAGGACGCTTTGGTCATCCAGGAACCTAACTGCGGGTCTGGAGGCTCGATTGTTCCTGTGTGTCCAACGACACAGCATCTGAGAGATATGCATAGAGGAATGATCAATGCCTTCAACAGCGTACATCTGCACTCAGCAGAGTCAGGACTCAGGTGGAAGAGTTCCCACACCACTTCTTCTGTTGGCACGTAGGCTGCTCCCGCCCCACTCCATAGACACACATATCCTGGAATTATAGGTTAGGCCTCTAAAACCAATCGGACCCAAGTGAAAGCAGGCTGGTTTTTAGCAGTCTTGAAAATAAGGTGTTTCCGCTAAGTAAATGGGAGGAGCAGCGAAAACCCCTGTGACTCTGTAAGAGTTCATCTAAGCTTTTTCCCAGAAGCATGCACTCCTTGGTGGGTGACTCTGCTGATGGGGAGGAAGGTCTGGAGAAAGAAAAATCTGGATAGCTTTAGTATGTGTGCTTAGGTGTACACTCGTGTGCAGTTGAGGGAGGGTTTGGGAGATTACATGTAAGAATCTGAAAGTGTGCTAAGAACTTTCCTTCTACTGATGACATCAGGGGGCTTTTAAAATCTCTCCTCATCACCCCAGTTTCTCTCCGTATGGGTAAGAGTGGGGTCTCCAGTTTTCCCCAGGCACTACCTAGCTCTCCCTGCTATAGGCTCCAACTTTTTGCCCTGAGTGGATCCTGCAGGTGATTCACCCTGAAATTATTCCATTTCAGGGCTGTTTTAGGCCTGAAACTGATCGACAAAGACCAAGCAAGACGTCTGCCGCCGCGTACTTCCTGCAGGTCCCTGAAAAGGAAGCGAAGGTTATTAGGTTATTAGGTACCTGGGAAGTCTGAGGAGCCCTGGGGTGTCACAGGCTACCTGCAGGGGCTTGGGGGGGGGGGGTGGAGATCCAGGCCTATTCTTGGCAGGGGAGAAGTTAGAACGAGAAAGGCAGTACAGTAACTGTTCACCTAAAACTAACCATGTGGAGCTATTTTCATTTTTCAAAGGACGAGTAGAGTCGTGCGGCATCTAGAAGAAGAGAGTCATAAACACAAATAGGCATCCCCAGAAATGGAGCGCCCTCATCTTCCACGTACTGTCTTTTCCTCCCATTGCCCCACGCTGAAGAGCACCTTAAACACCACTGCTAATGCCTCAATACCAAGGTGAACCACCAGCCGGCTTTGATTTTGGAGTTTTGAGTAAGTAATTGAAAACAAAGTTAAAAATAGTTGGCCAGCGGGACATATTAGGCTGCCCCTAAACACGTGGGCAGGACACCCTGGGGGGGTGAGAGAATTAAAATGAATTCGGCCATCAAGATAGGTATAAAACGTTATGAGGCGTCTATGGGGTGGGGAGAAACCTTCTAGACTGCAAGAGGAGGTGGAGCCCAGTGACCAGACCCGGTTCACCTCCAAACTGTGTGGTCTTCCCTTCCACAAGTCGATTAATGCGACCCATGCCTCAGTTTCCCTATCCTCAGAGTGAAGGGATTCTTAAAACTTTACAACTAAGCAAAGCAGGAAAGGTCATTGACCCTGGGGCTGGACAGACCTGAGATTTTATTTGTTGTCATCGAATTTCTGGAATGTGAGGCCAACGATTCCGTTTTTCACATCTTTTCCCAAATTGGCGCCCCAAAGCAAAAAGCAAAAAACAAACAAACAACAACAAAACCAGGAGCATGAAATGGAGCGGCATCCCTGGTCTGGAACCCTCGGGCCTGGTGAGATAGTGAGAGGGAGTGGGCTTCTGGAAACGCCTGCCCAACGCCAGTTCCGCGGAGGCAGCGTGGGCCACTCTTGCGGACCGCACCTCCGGTTGCCCAGGTTCGTTCAAGTCGCAGAGAGCTGCTGGACCGCGTAAGTCGTTAAGCAACCACCCACTCACACTTTTTTAAAAAATAAAAGTACGTGGGGGTGAAAGGTCTGTAATGATGTTTTTTTGTTTTCACGAAATACAACCTTTTATTTTTATTTTAAAGCAGCAGCGTGCCCACCCCTTGGTCCTTCCAGATGTCTGCAATAAGATCGCAGTAAAATCGCAGGTTTTGCCTTTGGGACTGGAAATAAAATTTAACGGCCTTCACCCTGTAATTATTCTCTTAGCTTGCCCTTCATAAATTTATCTGCTTTCTATCGGCACTGGGGCAAGAGGCGAGCGAAAAGGGGGGAAGCCCCAATTTTATATTTGTGACTATAAAAAAGCGCCACCCGGTTTCCTCGCCTTCGGCCGCCGCGGTGTGGCCGGCAGAGCCCTGCCCGGCGGGGCCGCAAAATTGCCCTATTGTTCGCTGACTTGGGTCTGCTCCGGAGCAGGGCCCCTCCACAAAGGGAGCCTTGTGTGGCCAGGCCGGAGGGGCCGCGCCCAAGGAGTGAGGAAATCCTGTTCCCCCAGGCCCAGCTCCTTTTTCCCCATGGCCTTTCGCGCAACGCCGCAGCCGACCTTCGTCTGCAGTGCGCACCCGCCACGCAAGGCTCCAGCTCAGGCCCTGCCAGCCTTCGCAGGGTGCAGGGTGCAGGA